CAGAATACAATCAATATATTCTAAATATAATGTTTCCAACTTAAATGATTGTTAAATGCTACTTGATCATGTCTAGTTTAACTATGAAAGCATATTTATTTTCTGTGAGTAATTACAAGTCGTATAGCATTTACTATTTGTAATCACACAAACAAAAATTCAGACTTCTTAGAAGTTGAGATAAAGAAAAATTCTGTCTAGAAACAATTGTCAGGGTAATCAATCTTTTCAATACTTGGGTGCAAGATTCTTAAAGGGTACGAAGACACAGAACAAAGTAAGAATCATTTGTTTAGTTTACAAGGTACTGAAAAAGATTCTTTTAATTGATCTAATGATGGGGGTGGGGTGGGGTTTCATTTAGGTCTTTAAGAACCAGAGATTTTCTTTGGTAATTTTTCCTATAAACCCAACTACTTTCTGCCATAAATCTTCAGTTGTTCTTTAAAATAGAAGAAAAAGGCATTCTTTATTAAAATCTAGTTAATTTTAAACATTATGTGGATATGAATTACATGAATATGTACAGTGCTTGAAATCAGTCAGTACTTACCAGTACACAGTACTAGCACTTCTATATTCCAAAGAGTTGCATACCAACACATCTCATCATAGCCAGAAATATGTATCTAATTGTTCCTTTTATACCACTTTTATGTGTACTAGCACTTTTTGCAATTTCAAGCAATGCCTTGGTAAAATAGATATCTGCAATAATGACCCAAAGAACTCCTACAGATGCTTATATACAAACGTTTCAGTTTAAGAAAACTACCTTTTTCATGCAATAAAAAGAAAATTAAAATAAACAACTTTTAAATGTTTTGTAAATGATAAATATCCCATTTGGGTACATGGGCTTCAACTTATGGCACATCAGGTCTTTTACTTTTTTTTTCGTTTTGCTAGAAGTTGGTATAGTGAAACATTTTTGAGGATTAGTCTCTAGGCCAACAAAAACTATTTTGAAAGTGATAATCATTCATAAAGATAATGAACTTAACACTAAAACATTACATAATATAAAATACCAGCAACCTTAACATATCTGTTTCTCATTTACTGTAAAACTAAGTTGTTGGCAAAGCATTCTCAGAGTTTTTATTATGTGTGCAGTTCTTACCTTTTATATACATTTTTTTTAATTGATTATGTTAGCGAATGCTTTAATTAAACTTTCTTCATTATTAGTAAGCAATATTCCACCTCTGGAGCTAAGCTGTCCTGTGATGATTACATCAAGTATTACAATAAAAGATTAATAAATTATTTTATTAAACATTTACATTTCTTATACATCTGGTGATGCAAACTGATGATGTTTTCACTTTTTAGTAAAACCTACTAACCCTGTATAAATGCATTAAACAATAGCTAAGATATTTAAGGCTATAGTTTAATACATCCTTCCAACAAATATATTTCTATTGTTCTTGATCTTTCAGCATAATAAAAAAGCTGTTTGTGTCCTTTTTATCAAAATGGTTTCCCTTGATCTGGAATTTTCTTCACTTAAAATTCAAAGTTTTATTTTCTAATGCAACTATCCACATCTATACACAAACCAAAATAAAACAAGGAACTTCTAAAATATTATATTGAAACCACAATCAACGTTTATCAAGAAGTAATATTTACTTTTCATGAAGTCTTGATGTTCCAGCTTACAGTAGAACTACATGTACTGTATTCAGCAAGAGAGGGAGGGGGGGGGGGTGGGTCTTGATCTAGAAAATGTTCTAATGCCAAAATATTGAACTGTGAAATCTTTATAAGCCAAAAGCCAAATGCAGTGGTAAAGAATACATCACGTTAGTTGATCTTTGGCTCTACTCCATTTCTAAAAACAGCAGGAGCCAAATTTTAACATCTGAGCAGTACTTGAATGAATACTGCTACTAAGCAGTTAGTATTGTAGTCTGCTACACTAGCATCATACAAGTTGTTTACAGGTTAAAGAAATATTAACTGCACACTCCATGTTCCTCTGGATAAAATGACTGAGAATACATAGAACACTTCAAACTTACTGACATTGAATCTAGTTAGATGTATACACGGATATAAGACACCTATTCTATGTTTAGAAGAATTGAATATCATTTCTTGTTTTTACTTCATAGACTTAAAATGGTTCAAGAAAATATTCACTTTAGAAAATCATGAAAACATCCAAATTTAAGTATGTACAAGTTTTTTGGATCTGAAAATTAGTAATATGTATCATAGATACATCAAACTCTGGATCCTGCAAGAATGAATGCCATG